TCTGGGCGCACAGAAAGAGTCAACGTCGGACGGTGATTGAATGCATCGCCGATCCGGGATTTCTGTGCTGCGCCGCCCAAAGAAGAAGCGGCGATGTGCTGCCAGCAATCACCTGACTGCTGCTTTCCCCGCGCCTGCTGTTTTCGGTCACGCCTCCATTCCTTCCTTTTTCTCTCGTTTGTTTGTCTCTACTTCTCGTCCCCAATTTTGAGGGATGGATGGAAAACTTTATTGCCCTTTGGCTTCCTGTTCCCCTGCTCATCTTATCTTCTCTGATCACCGTTGTCTCCAGTTTTCCCTTACTGCTAAATTACTACTCCTTCCTACTTTTGACTTTCCCCCGACCGATTTGTGTCCGAATATATAATGGTCTGGAAAGCTTATCAGATGTCAATTGGCTCACGTAGCTTTATGATCTACAAGCCCCCCCAAGCCTTTAGACCCTCCACAGTCTCCCTGAAGGCTGCAGCTGCGCCAAAGGTTGTATGACTACCCCATATCATTGGTCTGAACCTCCTCCTTCGGATCTAAGTAGCGGCATATTCGTGTGCTGGGCGCTCACGGGATCCCAGAAACCATCATACTACGGGGTTCTCTTAGCACCGCTGAATCGGTGGTGCCACCAGAGAGAGGTTCTTCATCAGGAGACTAGTGCGTCTAGATCTTTCAGTCATCATACAATACAATGGGCAATTGCAATGCTTCCTGCGCAGACAGGCCACTGGCTCGATTGGTTGACAAGTCATTGAACGCCTCTCAACTCGACTGATGCGCTGTCGTTTGCTTTTCCCGCCCTAGTAACTCTGCCCTGAAAATATTCCGGCCCTTCTGATTGGCAGTGGCCACCATACCACACTAGATACAAGCGGAGAAACAGTGTTCACGGACCATCCGGAGGCTGGAGCTGCGGCACACCCCTCACCTTGGTGATGCGAACAAATCCATTCGCCGGAGAGCAGCAATGCCGAAGGGGAAAGTCAACGGACACAGGCCCAGGATCTGCGTGAGCAACAGATAGGTTCAACAGGGGGCCTCATGTTCCCTCGCCAATGGTACCGGCAGTCACAATCTAGACCCGTCGAGTGGCAGGGGTAGGGGGACTAAGCAGTAAGCCTCTGTCGAATGGTCATTACAGGACAATAGCGATGTATCCGAGATGCTCACTAACAACCCACAAGCTGGCTAGGATGATCAATACTAAGGTCACTGTGGCTGGTTGTTGGGAGCTGGAACCCACCGGGGCCATGCACGGCTGACACCCTAAAAGTCCGTCACATTGCAGACTTTTTTTTTCCTCCCCCAAAGCTCCAAGAACATAGTTGCTGGTAGCTGAGAATTGGATGGAGCTCCTGACGAAAGGTGCAATAAAAAGTGTCCATTGCTTTCCTCGCTAGGCTAGCTTGAACCGAAACGTTCCGGCTCTGGTGGACTTCCCATTTAGCTCGTGAGGATTTTCTGCTTCGGGCAGTGATCAGAGGCGGGCGTATGTGTCCATCACCATGCGCTTCGTCGGAGAGAAAAAGTAGCGACAATTGAATCAGCGGCATCATTTCCCGAACCCTGGCTAGACTCCCTCCATATTGTATCCAGGGAAATTAAAAACGGGCGCGCTGGCTTATTTCTCGGGTGTGATGGGGAACCGTTTTGCCGGCCATGTTTTGGGTTCGGTTTGGGCCCCTGAAAGGCTGAAACCTGGAGCGACTGGCAAAAAAAGGTCGGGTCTGGTGTTCACGCTAAGGAAGAGATCGACTCGAGCCGTTCTCGTTTTTGTATAGGGTTCTTTTTCCCTTTTTCTCGCCCCTCCAATCCTTATTTGCCCTGGGGGCTCCATGGCCATCACGCCGGCGCTCCACTCCGCATGAACCATCCTCCATTGGGCATTTAACCGTTGAACATTGTTCTGCCCATCCTAATCACCGTTGCTGAGGCGGTCGCTTTTAGCTGCAGCGGAGTAGTCCAACATCGACTCGGCCTGGCTCCCCTTTCTCCTGCCTCTTCCTCTTTATCTTTCGCACATCAATGGCTGCTTCCTGCCGTTGATGCCTCTGCCCCTCCATGGCTACTGTTGCGACTGCCTGTCGAGGACCGACCTGACAACAACGTGATGAGGGGGTGGTAAGTTCTGGCGGCCCCTGGTGCGAATCTTGTTTCTTTTCTTTCTTTCCTAGCCCAGTCTGTTGGGATGCCATTTGGGCGGCATGCGGCCGCTGCTTTTCGACCAAGCTAATGCAACCGTTTACGTTCAGTCTCACCTGCCGTCAACGCCATCTCAAATGTAATTCATTCTCCCCTGCAGAAACCCGGTTTATCGGACGTGCATGGCCGGCTTTCCAGTTCAGCGCCTCTAACCGTGATATTCTAGGTGACAAGACGGGGTCCTCGTGCTTGCGATGCCAGCGATCGGGACGACAGTGTATCCCGGCTCCGACGAAGACGGAAGAGGTCACTTTCCGACACGGGCAAAATCCGTCGCTACGTCCAAAGGGCCCTCCCCGTTACGGAGAAAGCGACCTCGCGTTTCCTCCCGATCAGATATGGGTTGGGATGCCTGCGCAGGGTTGGTACCTCTGCAAGAACGAAGGTTTGAGACTTGCACTGATGACGGCTCCGTAGTCTCCTTCGAGGACGAGACAGATCGTACAGCGGCCGACTATCATGTTCTCCCCGTGAATCCTCCACCAGCACCTCGGAAAGACGCAGTCAAGCGTCGATCTCTAGCTTCTGTGGCAACTCCCACATCGTCGCATGCCCTCCAGCTTGTACTGTCCCCGAGTGACACCACTCCCACCACAGCCTTTCCGCCACAGCGCCTGGACCCAGTCAATCTACCTTTCGCATTTGATGAGCTCCGCGATCGACAGAAAGTCGCGAGTTTCAATGAGGCGTTCCTCCTTCGGCACTTCCGAAAAACGCTCGGCCCATGGGTGCTTTACCCCATTCTTCGATCACGATACGGTTGGATTAAGGCTAATCGTCGCTTTCTAGTTGGATGTTTGCGATCATGAGAGACATTTCTCTTTGGATGTGGTGGAACGGGCACCTACGAACCCCCTTCTACTCTACGCATGTTTGGCTATAGCAGCCCGTCATCTCTCCCATACAAATCATAATATTCCCCCGAATACCGCAGATGGATATCATGAGCGGTGTATCGGGATACTCTTGCCTGTTCTGGAAAACAAAGAGATTGAGATCAGTATTGATATCCTTCTTGCCTCTACCGTGATATTGCGCTTCTTCGAGCAAATTTCCTGTGCGTTCCCGTTGGCAAAGCCCTCTAATCCGATTAAAGCCTTCTAATACTTTGAGCAGCTCACAGCCCATCGAACGACCTTCAGCGTCATTTACTAGCCGGCTCAGTCTATATAAGTTCTCAGGTCGGATGTGCTACATCAGGCGGACTCGCAGAAGCTTCATTTTGGGTTTTCGTGATGCAAGATATCCAGTTTGCCTTGGCATATCAGAAACCACTGCGGTTGACACTGAGTCCATTCGGGGAGAGACTGTACCTCTTATGGCAGCACGACTCATCTCAGAAAGATCGAGATTGGGCGCATAGAGCCATTTGGCTTCTTGCAGAGACGATCAATCACTGCTATGGGGTGCATGCATCGCTGGAGATGGAAGTGCTGGGTCGGAGTACCCTGAAACGAAGGATCCATGCTTGGGACTCGGAGAAGCCGGATATTTTTCGACCACTGCATTACTCCGCTGCAGACCCAAGAATTGGCAGGCCTTTTCCCGTGGTCTGGTTTACAAGGTCACTCCATGGTATGTACCCTTGGGAGTATCAGTGATCGGTCGTTGACGTTCCATTTAGCGATCGCAGTACAACATATCTGTATGGCGAAAGCTTTGATCCTGCAACAGGAACTCAGGACCCTTTATTCGACGCCTAGTCCACAAGATATTCAGATGACCGAGGTACGCTGCCACATACTGCAACTTTCAAGGGAAAGTCTAATTGGTGCTGTTCAGGGAAACATGACGCGGAGTCTGAGCATTTTGTTCGGAATTGCACTGTCTGTTGATGACGAGATATCCCTGCGCGTCATGGCATGCCACGCACTGTGCGCCTGTAAGTAATAATTTCTGCCCTGGCTGTGGCCCACCTGCTGGATACGGAAGCCCACTAACTGATCGATTGATCCACCAGGCGGCTCCTGGATTCGTGACCCTCTAGCGCAGACATGCTTGCTGGATCTTCTTCGGAGGACCGAAGCTGAGAATGGCTGGCCATGGTCATACATGGTCCAGAAGCTAACCCAAGAGTGGCGCTTGACCGTTAGGTAAAAGCTGTTGATCAGCTGACTCAGATCATTTTGTGCTGTTTCTCAACCGCGTCATGATGATCATTCGCTTTTTGGCAACCAAAAAGTGCTTGAACACCACCCATTCTCCAGAGGTCTAACACACTTGACCGCTGTTTCTTGCTTTGTCCGATGCTCGCTACGAATAATGATCAGCAAGTGGGGAAAGGTCCAGCCAGTGCCGGAGTACGCCGGCTTGCAGACGCTGGCAGTCTGGCACGCCGACCCGCAAGACAGCTGTGTCCTCGCTAATGCAGCCTCGGCCGAATGGAGTCGGCTCCTTTCGCACTTTATCACAATAGCGTGTGGGACCGGGGAGGAGGCTGTTGGGATTCTACCTCGCTTATTCGCCGTGGCGTGCTGAGTGAGTGGGTCTTGGGATTATACCCACTGACTTGTGATAAGCGTACTGCACGCGAACGGTTTGTTAATTTACCAGCATGGAAGTCTGATCCTCGATTCTGGAGCACGACACGAGGAACATATATCCGAGCAGACCATCGGACAAAAACAAAAGTACTAGCTTAGTTTATGACTTTTTCCTATGTATATAAATATACCCAGAACTGTACTCCAATAGTATAGATACACATGATCCAAAATAATTAACCAAGAAGAGTAGGGATATCATCAACATGATATAAACAATCCATCTCAGAATCAAATCTTCTACACACCCCAAAAAGCACCTCAATAAAACCCCATTCCCATCCCCATTCCCATCCCCCCATCCGCCTGAAACGGCAAATTCAGAATCTCATCACCCAGCATATTCCCCAACATGAACAAGTTCTCCGGATCAAACCCCATCTGCACCCCCAACTCGGGAACAAACAACCCTTGTATCGTATTTCCTCCTCCCGCTCCTCCCCCACTAGTACCAGCACTAGCACTAGCACTACCAGTAGCAGCACCAGCACCAGAACCAGGCGTAGTAACCACCATTCCATTCCCATTACTCCCATTACTCGGATCAGTTCCGAAACCCTGGACATCTTGGTATGAAGGGCTGAAGGTGGGGTAGAATTGGCGGGGTGGAGGGGGGTATTGTTGGACCCAGGTTGATGATGGTTGTTGTTCGGTAGTTGAGTCGGTGGTGTGAGTGTGAGTGTGAGTGTGAGAATGAGGGACGGGGAGATCTGATGATGATGATGGCGATTGTTGGGTGAGGAGGTCGGGGTATGTACTTGTGGTGGTGTTGGGTGTGTAGATTGGTCTATTGGTGGATGTTGGTTGGGTTTGGGTTGGGGATGGGTTGTTGGTTGTGGTTGTAGAGCGGGATTGAGGATCGCCCATGGCGACTTCGCTGAGGAGGTGGAGGGGGGTTTGGCCTTGGGTTTGGCCTTGGTTTTGTTTGTCTTGTTGGGGGGGTTGCTGGGTATGGTTAGTGTTGGTATAGGGATAGGGATGGATATGTAGGATGGGTACCTGGAGTCGCTCTTCATCAGAGCACTTGTACAGTGATAATGCTTCCTTGAGGACAGGACCCTGGTCTTTACGCTTCATGAACCAGTTCCGGAGGAGACTTAGGACAACGCTGAATTTAGCAGGGGTGCGACCGCCCGGGGTTTCGCCGGCTTTGGTGTAATGACGGATGACCTTGTCCAGGTAGTATTCTGTCTTGAGGCTGCTGAGGTCGATGACTTGGGCCATGCGGGTGTCTGGGCTGGAGACGATGGAGTAGATCTTGATGAGGGCGACGATGGCGAAGGAGGTTCGGGCCAGAGCGACGGTCGGGGTTAGGACGAGGTCCTTGGTTTCGATGGAGCAGAGGGTGTCGATGGCGTCGTGGATGGAGGTCAGGCAGGTGCTGAGGGCGTTGATGTGAGCTGGGCTGGTGGGGCTGGCGAGATCGTCGTTGGCGGTTTTGGGATCGTCTCGGTGGAATTCTACGTGCATGGCGTTCTCGTGGAGGAAGAGGTTGATGATGCAGTCGGCTTGTTTCAGGATGGCTGGGGGTATGGTTAGTGGTGAGGTAGCTGGGGAATTGGGTCTGGGGGAGTTGACGTACGGGAAAAGTGCTCTGGTGGAGTTTCTCGTCGCCATTGGTCCAGTTGTCTTTCGAGGACGCGGAGCGTGTAGAGGAACTTTGGGTCTGAGAAGGATGATACGGTAGGGGCGTCGTCGCTGGTGAACTGGACGGCGATATCTTCAAGGATATGGGCTAGCTTTGCCCATTGGATCATGCCTTTGTCGGATGGTAAGGCCTCTGGAGACTTTTCGAGTATTTCCACGCATTCATCCATATATGGCATCCAGCGGACTAGATTCACGCGTCTCAAAGAGACGGCACACCTGTATGGCTGTTAGCGGTCAGTTTGTCATGATGAGTAGGGGATACGAACTGCACGGCGACGAAATAACAAGCAAGCCAGGTTCGTCTGGCCTCAGCTGAATCCAGGTCTACGACGATAGATGACTTCTTCGAGATAAGCTCCTTGACTAGGGCGAACGGCTTGGACTTGGGGATCGCCTTCCGGTTGAGACCCAGATCCATTGCGAGTGAGACAGCAATGTTTGACAACTGATAGAATTTGACCTCCTCGAAGTTGTCTGGTGGCGTGTACCAGTTGCAGCAGACTAGAATCGCCTGGACTAGATCCAGTGACTTTTCACCTTTCACAATAACTCGTTCGGCAAGCACTTTGTAGAACTCATCCAGCAGCGATAGCTGCAGGTGTGGTTGGATAGTACCGATCGCGGATGCAATTATAGCGTGAAACAGCACCGGCTTCTTCTGCCGCACCTCATCCATTGTTGTGCCTGGTGGGAACACCACCATAGGTATGAGGGTGGCCATTCGATCGACGTATTTGGTAAATGCCTCCTGAGCCAGTGTCTCACTCACGACGCCTCGGTCAATCAGATCACCCCCGCCCTCGCTGGCCGTGTCTTTAGGTTGTGCCTCCAAGCCGTATCCCATGGCCCGCCATTGTTTGAGAGCCTTATTGTACAATGACTGGTCGTCGCTAGGGCTCGAAGTGCGAGAAGACACTGGAGCAGTCTCTTTGATCTCCCCACTGTGCCGCCGCTTGCTCCCCGCCGTGCTGGAAGGTGACCTCAAGGGTATCGATCCATTAGTAGAGGCATGCGCCGTGGATGAAAGCCAGCGCCTTCCCGGATGCTCCTCGCGCGGCGGCTCAAGAGCGGCGGGCGGCGGAAGAGGGTGCGGTTCGTGGCCCTGGGAGGCCTGCAAGCTCGCCGTCAAGGCATCAATCTTCCTCTCGAGCTCCGCCACGCGACTGTCGGTCTTCTTCTGGCGCTTGCGCGTGGGAACGGTCACGATACAGTTCCGGCCGGCCTTGGCGCATCGTTTACACGTGCCATTGGGATGGCTGAGATCGGGCTCGCATCGGACTTTGAGTTGACGGCATGCTTCGCAGGCGCGCGGACGTCGCAATTCGGCATACGGATCGTTCGGATCGACGGGATCGAGTTGAGAGGACGTGCTGGGCACCGAGCCAGGTTCAGGCCCGCTTCGGTATATAGATGGCGTTGACTGGGAGTGCGCGGCGCTGCCGTAGTAGCCGGGCCCACTTGCAGACGAGACGGCGGATCGCAGCTGGTCAGCGGGAGAGTAAGGGGACGGTGGTTCGGGGTAATCGCTGCGGCGTGGAAGCGCGGAGGGAGCGCCGGTATTATGGTCGGGATGTCTGGAAGAGACCGGGGAAGGGATATATGGACGACCGGCTGCGGTGCCGTCGGCAGGAGAGCTGTCACTGCCAGCACGCAGACGCGGATCGATCTCCATCGGTTTGCGGGGACTGGGTTTAAGGCACGTCAGCCTGGGTTGCACGACGGGTGGATGATGGTCGCCATGGCCAACGGATCAATATCACGACCGGCAAGGATTTCCGATCGCTTGGCCGCGCGCGCGCGTTAATCCTAGAAGGGATAGTAAGGAGACCGAAATGAGAACATCAAGCTTACATTTTTAATTTGAGAGAGTAGAAGATGAGGGGGTGGAAAGGCACGACGCCAGACTCGCTTGGGAGGCTGCAGTTGGGCGAAGGTCGGAGAACCGGACGGTCGGTGACCGACAGCCGACCGTGGAGGCCTCAGGCGGGTGCGTGTTCAAGCCTTAAAAAGGAGTCCCTCCAGGAGATGCTGGATCAGATGCATTCGATATCGGGAACCACGTTCGAAGAAGATGGTGCTTCACTGCCGGGTTTGATGCGACAGATTGTGCGAGGAGAAGGAGATGACAAGAAGATGAAAACAGAGGAGAGAAAACGCGGAGACGCGAAAGACGAGCGAAGGAGCCTCAAGTGGAGGGGCGGCTTTTTGTCGCCTGCGATTTCTTGTTTCTACGTCTCTCTCCTAATCTGCCGCCAGACCATGAAATATAATTATACAAATGATACCATGAATATTATCCCTTTATAACTACGAGCAGCCAAAAGATCAAGCTCTTCCATTGACGCATTTCCCTTAAATTATTTATCTGATCTCGATGGATGGATGACTCAACACCCTCAGGCTGCCATTCCTAACTATCTATCGCTGCTTACGTGTGCACCAACTGCCATCCCATCCCCCTTTTCGATCCACAAGTTAGTTGCTCTTATCGGTCTCTTCTCTGATCATTGAGTATGTAAAAGGTGTAGCATTCGTAAATGTCCAATGTCCGGTGGAAACAGCAGTCGCTCTAACTAAATGGCCAAGAACTCACGCGCCGAACTAATTGCATCAAACATGAGGGGGAGATCAAGAACACCAACCAGAGAGAAACTCATCACTCTCTTCAACCAAACACAAGAACCCCAAGCTGCTTGACAGCTGCAAAAGAAACAACGAGACAACAGACAACAAGGCCAGGACGCCGGCTCGGCAGAATAGTGCTGGACAGAACATTTGCCTCACCAAAGGAAAGAAAAACAAAGCCACCATCGGACCGACAAGAAGGCGGAAATCCAGCCGCAACCAAGCTTGCACGGTACAAAAGAGGCCCGCTATAAACCCACAAAACACCAACATGAAGACATCAGGCTCGTTCAGGAGACTTTATGCACCGGGCACTCCTTCTTCCGCTCAAACCATTCAACAATGCATCGCTTGTGGAATTTGCACAGACACTCCAGCCGCACCAGCGACTGCCCAACCTCGTATTCTTCCATGCAAATGGTACACTCCTGTAACCCTCCATCCTGTCCCACACAGTCCTTTTCCGTCGCCTTGAATACAACCAGACGAACGGGAACGGGTGAGGACGCCGCTGGGCTACCGCTCTGCGGGGACATGCGACCTTGTCGGCCATGGCTCTCGATACAGTCGCGGATATGTGCCTCTCGACTAGTCTCGTCCCCGTTGTTGCCCAAAGGTGGAAGCTCTTGGTCACAGATCGGACAGAGATCGCGCTCTTCGACGTGAGGCCGCCGCCACGGCGCTACCCCGAGAGACGAAGGTCGGGCTGTCGACGACACGGGCAATGAACTGGCACTCCCCGCACCCAGATACGGCAGCGGTCGAGAGGAGGCACTGGAACCCATTGAGATGGGATGGAAGCGGGAACTAGATAATGATCCGTAATCAATGGGCCTGGGCCGTTCCTGCAGCCGTGGAGCAAAGGCGCCGCCCAAGCCACCAAACGTGGTATAATCGCTTGAGCCTACGGTCCGTCGTCCTGGCCGTGAGGGAAATGTACCTGGCTGCTGCTGTCATCTGGTTAGTGGAGGGAAGCATTCCGAGAAGGCATACATTGTAAACTCACCAGGCCTCCACTGTGGGGATTTTGATTAGCGGGCGATGACACGGAATGATAAGATCGATGTCCAGATTGATTGAATGAAGTAGGGTAAGCCCCCTGCCCTATGCCCGAACGTGATTCTGCTCCCCCGCGGCTCCGAACAGTCGCAAACCCACGAGGCGGGTCTGGGTTGGGATCTGGGACGCAGGGGTTACACAGCCGCACCTCCTCCCCGCCCCCCAGGGCCGGGTTGAGGGCAGTTGGGGAGGTGGCGGCGTCATCACCTTCCAAATCAATAACCGGAGCCGCGCGCGGGGGGATCAGAGAGGAGGATGCATAAGAACGATTGGGGTCGCGCACGATGAACTGTCGGGGAATAGTAATCCGGTGGGGGGAACATGACGCACACACGACCCGGCCACATTTACGGCAGTGATGCTTCCTGTACCAAAAGCTGAACGTTGTCCCGCAAATGGGACATTTCGTCACCTCCGCATCAGGCTGCCATTGCGGCCGTGTATACTCCACGTAAGCACCAGTACCCGTCCGTGACCACGATCCCCGACGGTAGTTATCAGTCGAGCTAGATATACCCTGCGGCCGGGACTGCGGTGGGGGTGATGTTAGATCGATGGGATTGGCATAGGACGAAGGAGGAGGATTCTGGGGCGTCTGCGTTTGCGTCTGCGTCTCGAACGAGGAAAACCGGGGGATAGACCTGCTATCCATTGCTGCTGCTCGACTGCTACTACTGCTCGGCCCGGTGTCCGTCAACGGCTCGGGAACTGTACGCCTCGACCACGCATCCGCCTCCAGACTGACTATCCGTCGCTTACGATCCGACCCGCTGAGAGTGGATCGCCGTCTCTCAGTACGTCTATCTAGTGCAGGACCGGCCTCACTTGTCCGTAAATGCTCCGAGCTCGCATGAGGCCTGAGACCAGAAGAAGGCGGTGGGGCGGCGAAAGCGGCGGCTGCGGCTGCTGCGGTGGTGGTGGTGGTGGATGAAGCAGATCGGGAAGATGCCGGACTCGACAGGGACGACATGAACTGAGGGAAAGGAGCAGGCGTAGAAAAGGTCGATGCTGAAGCTGGATGTCTGCCGGAGGACGCTGCAGAGGAGACTAATCTCCGCCGTTTGGACGACGGACCGTCATTGACTGAGTGGCGCGACGAGGCCAGGATTGGGGGAGGGATAAGGCAGAACCGCGTTTCCGGGTAGCGTGTAGCAGGCGTGAATTATGAAAGGGGAGAAGACTGATTCTGGGGTACGGTCTTCTACCTGAGGAGAGAGAAAAGAAGAAGGCGGAATAATTGGCAAAAAAAAAAAACAAAAAGCAGATAGACAGTGGATGCAAAGTATTTGAAAAAAAGGAAATCAATCGAGAACGTTCGGACTTTTGGGCGTCGAAGGCAAATCTTCGGCCAGGAGGGGGGTCTCGTGACTCGGGCGATGTGAAGGAGAGAAGCACGCGCCCCGAAGAAACACCAGCACCAGTTCCTCCCTGCTGACAGCAATTTGATCAGGAAAGGGATGACCAACGCGGCTGCGAAAGGGACAAGAGACTGCCAGCCGCAAGAGTGTGTGAGATTGAGGGCGTGATGGTCAGGCGCTTTGCCGCTGGCTGACGTTCAACAAGCCGAGGATTGGCCGCGGGGCAAAATGGCGGTCCGCGAGGTGAGCTTCTTAGTTAATTAGTATTTGCTCGATTCTTTGTCTCCTCTCTCTCTCTCTCGGTGTCCGTGGGTGTGTCTGTGTGCCTCTTTTATCATCAACCACGAGGCTCGCGCCGATTCTTCCGATCAGGGATGACCGGACTAGCCAATTCCGTCAGGAGAATCTACTATCTGTATTTCTAGCCAGGTCTCGGAGAATCTAGGGACACCGTGCATATGAATTACTGATCTGGTGGATCAGCCAGCTCTGATAGTCAGGCCACCGGGGGATCTCCTCTCTTCAGTCAGAGATAGGCTGATGCTCGGGTGATGCTGCTGTTGATGATTTCACATGTCTCGTATCTCATACTGATTTTAGAACAATGGACTACAATCGCTCTATCCGCCAAGTATGGGTGTAAATATTTCACTAGCATAGTGGTTGCTATTTAGCATTATCAGCACTAATGTAAACGCCTATCCCCCATTCTCCGTTCAACTATAGTTAAATGAAATTATTGCCTAACAGTCCATACACGAAAAGAATCCGCCAACCTATACAAGATGCGACGCTGGGATTGCAGAACACAAAAAGGCCGTACCCATGCCGGAATGGCCGGGTTACAGGGGAAAGGGGTCGAAATCATGGCTGCCGTAACTGCAGGCCACGATGCAAGAGCAGGGGAGGTTTAGACAGAAGATGTGGATATGAGACAATGGTGGATACAAGAATGAAAAAACGAGGAGGGAAAGAAAAGAAATAAAAGACACACGCTGGCCAGCAGAATGCTGCAGGATCCGGTTGCTTATTTAACGGAAATCCAAACCCATATATCACAAACGCCTTTGCACATAATCCTTTTGTTGACGACACAGTGGGGAAAAGAAATTCGTCATCTCCACAGCAATGCCGATGGAAGATAGCTTCGCTTATGCTTTCAGACTGACGAGGCTGCCTTCAGTGTGCCTCATCGTCGGGGTGATGCGCTTCATCCACCAGTTCGGCGGCGCTGCCCGCAAACGATGGTTCATCCGGACTGGCTTCGTGGATATTATCCTGAGTGCGGTACTGTGCGACGTAACCCATACTGGATGGACGCTCAACACGTGTGCTTCCATCGTTTACCCGACGACTTGATGTGGTGGATGCGGTTGTGGAAGCAATGGAAAAATTGCGATCTCGGGAGGGCGAGCTGGTAGCAGTGAATGGTAACCGACCAGTGACTGAGGCCGACGGATGGAGTTGCCCGGGATTATGAACAGATGGTTCTCCGTGACCGGATTCCATTGATTGCAGAGCGGCTGTATCCGTCACCACAGAGAGAGGGTTCTGCGTCAAATTCAGCTCCTCCGGAGCCAGAGAACGTATAGAACCCTGGCGTCCGGCACCCGGTCGAGACGGAGACTGA